AGTTCAAGGCTCCTGGTGTCAGGTATGGAAACAACACAGGAAAAAATGAAAATAAAACTCCATCTGGGTTATTTTTTGGGGGAGGGGGGGGAAATTACTAACTCTTCCAAATCTAACAACTCTTAGACAGAAGCAGGGTGAGGATGAGTGTGACCTTCCCCAGAGTGGGGATGTCTCGCCCCTCCCCAGGTCAGGGTTTTGCTGCTGGGAGCAATGCTCAGTCTGAGACACTACCTGAAGAGAAAGATTAATGTGTCACTGCTGGCTTAAGTTGTCAAGCACGTAATATTTCTTTTTTTTTTCTAAAAAAGTAATTACTGGTGAAGTAAAGGATGGGTTTAGGCATCCAGAGGTTTGAACTGACATGAAGTATTTGGTGCTACTATTCTAAGAGGTGATTTATCCTGGTGGGTCCAGAAGGCTGGGGCAATGAAAATATTTCTGGTTACTTTTACTGCTTATCATGCATAAAATCCCTGAAAGAGAAGTATCTGAACCATCCTGAAGAGCAATACTGGAAAGAAACCCAGGATATGTGGTTCCTTGCAGTTGGTATTCATCATCTCACTCTCATTGTTTTCTTCCTGTTACCTGGAAAATTCCAGTATACTGTGAATAATATTTACTGCTAGAACACCCCAACACTTTCACTGTGTTTTTAAAACTACAAGCTGCAGATCTGTAAATGAAGTGAAGGCAAGATGATTTGGCTGATTACCCATTTTCACAATGATAGGTTTCCTTGTTGCGTGTGAAAACGAAATGATGATGTTTAAGTCACGACTGCACCTCGGCAGCCTTTGAATTTGGATGTGCAGAGCTTTCCTTGAGGTAATATCAGAGCCTGGTAGCACAGAGCAGTAATTGATGGGACTGATCTGCCAGTGAACCCTGCAAGGTGGAAGGAGAATAGCAATGACTTGCAGGAGCTGCAGTAATGAGCCAGGCTTGTTTTACTCTGCTTTTCAGGTGTCTGCAGCTGCAGGTTGCACAGACCAACCCTGTGCTTCACACCAAAGGGCATCCTCATCTAACCCCAGAATTTTAGTTTCCATTCATTCCAAATGGATCTAAAAACTGAGAGATTTTATGGGTGGTATAATTTCTCTTGTATATACATTGTGCTAAAAAGGGATTTCTTATTTTCTTTTCATAAATCTTCCTTCTGAGCAAAATCCCTGTGGTATTTGGAGTGTTGCTTTTGTGTTGTTTCATACAAAGTTACAGGATTGTTTCTTGCATGTAAAAAACCAGGTTGCTTAACTTAGGAGTTTGAGAGAAAGAAGAGATTCCTTCTGCTACAGCCCTTAAACTAATAAAGTATAACCTATTATGTATGGTTTAATATTAATACACTTATTTCTGAATGTGGCCATGGTATTTCTTCTACTGAAAGAACTCTCTGCAAACCAGTGGCTTCAAACAAGGGCTGCAAAATGCCAGACTCACATTCTCTTATTTCATTCCCTAGCCAATATATTTCAGATTTCAAATGATGCTTTTGCTTACTTCTTGATATAAAACGCTTCACTTGAAGAGCACCTCTCCTTGGCATCACTGCTGAGGTGCTTCTGAGGACCCTGATGCTCCAGGAGGTGCCTTCCAGCAGGGCTCACCTGGGCAGTGCTGATGTTTGGTCCATGGTTTTGATCTGGTGAAGGTGGAGCTGTGGTGGGATATTGCAGAAGAACCACCAAGTCTCGTCGGCAGCGTTGTATGAGGTGTTTTCTCATGGCTTTTTTAATTCCTGTCTGTGAAGGTGCATGTGAGAGTATGATGTGAAGGCAGAAAATTGAGGGGGATTGGTGAAATTGGTGCCAGTTAAATTGAAGGAGCCCGTGGCTCTGCGTGTTGTGTAACACACCAAGCATGGCTTGCACCAAGCTGTGGCAGCATGAGAAAAGTTGGTGTTTAATCCTTCATTCCCTTGGTTTTTCCCTGTTCTCTGCATGCATCTCCAGCCCTGGCAGCGCTGAGTTTGAATTTGTTTGTTAGAGTTAAGGTGGAAGGCGAGTTTGTGTTGCTGAAGATCAATGACAGCACTCTCATTGACTTCATGGGGTGGGAAAACAGCACCCAGGAATGAGGGGTGGGGGAAGGAGTGATGGGCCATTACTGTGGGGATCTGAGGAGAGGTGGGAGTTAAAAGGGTCATGAAGTTTATGCATTATTGACAGAATACCCATAATGACTCCTTAGGAGCTATTACACGGTGATATGTGAAGGCCTTAGTTGGGGATGGTTTAATTTATGAATCATTTCTCTGATGGATTGCCTGCTCTGTCAGCCTGGCTGCTGCACTAACTCGGGGTTCTTAATTCATTATGGGAGATTTTATGCAAAGTAATTGCTGTACAACACCACTCTTCAGAATGAAATAATGTGGCTGCTTTCCCCCCGCTCCTGCTGGTGAAAGCTTTTGTTCACGTTCTGAGCAGTGCCCCATTTGTGGAGTATCATCTGGAAAAGCTTTGCAAGGGAGCAGCTCTGCTGAAGAAAGGAGTCCCTGAAATGCCCAGTGTTTTTGCACTTACAGGTCTAATCTTTCAGGTTTCAGCTTCACTTCTGTCTAATGAAGTCTCATGTTAATTCTGGCAGAGGGAACATATTGAAATTCTTCCTTCACAAATCCTCCAGAGGAATTCAGAACTTGGTTCTGAAATATCAGGGGTGAAATTTAAAAAGGTCTTCTTATTATTTTGGTGTTTTTCCTTTACAGTCTTGAACGAAGCTCATAATCTTTCTCTGCCTTTCTCTTCTTACTGCAAAACAAACTTGCCCATGTGTCCTTTTGTTAGATAAAATGAAAAATTACTTTTTCAAGCAACACAAAATGAGGGAACTCAGTTTTACAGTGTGTGGAGCCCCCAAAAAAAGTACAAATGAGTTCTGAAAAATCAGACAAATTCTGTTCCCATCTGCAACGCTTGAATTGTGCGGCCCAGATGCAAGTTTTGTCTTGAGAAATCTCAAAAGAATACAAACAGAGTTTAGAAGGATGGAATACAATGAAAGGCAGGGAGAATTGGGGTGCCTGGAAAAGAAAAGCTTCAGAGGGAGTGACCCAATTGTTTGGACTGACCCTATTGTGGCCTTCCAGTACCTGAAGGGAGTACAGTAGAGATGGAGAGAAATTATTTACAAGGGCCTGGTGTGACAGGGAATGGCTTCAAAATGAAGGAGGGCAGGGTTAAAGGGATATTGGGAAGCAATTGTTGCCTGAGAGGTTGCTGAGGCCCTGGCACAGGTGCCCAGAGAAGCTGTGGCTGCCCTGGGAAGTGTCCAAGGCTGGGTTGGACGGAGCCTGGAGCACCCTGGGATAATGGAAGATGTCCCTGCCTATGGCAGGGGATGGGCTTTAAGGTCCCTTCCAACCCAGGCTGTTTTATGCTTTTATAATTCTTGCTTTCCCTCCTGATGTGCTGATTTCCCAGCCCTCAGCCAGGCAGGACATTTCCCAGTGCTGGCCAGCCAGGATGCTGGCCCAGGTCAGGCTGTGACCATCAAGGGGACACTGGGGACCCTTCCCAGCCTTTCCTAGAGATCATGGCAGCAGGGTGAGGTTAAAATCCTGTTCTCCAAGGCCTGGAGGAGCTCATCTTCCATACACAATGTTGGAGTCAGCCCCAGAATAGGAGGCTTGTTAATATGGTACATGCTTAATTTATTCTGCTCCTCAGGGGGTGAGTGGCGAGCCATTACTGAGCAAGAGCACAAACACAGAAATCCAAGGCATGGTTTGGATAGTTATTTTAAAAATCTTAATTCCTTCATTCTGCTTTCCTAATTCAAAGCAGGGATGGAACTGAACTATATTCTTCTGGGAAACACAAAAATGGATTCCTCTGGGGGAAAAAATTCAAATTTGAATATAAAAATAACTCAAGTGATCCTTTTTCTTCCCATTAATATGTCCTATTTTTGAAGTCTAGAGATGAAATCTTGCAAGTTTTTTTTTTTTTTCTTTTTTCCTTTCAAATAACTGGATGAATAACTAAAAAGTGCAGTCCCAGAAATCTTGTAAGAGGGTACAAGCTCTTCTTCCTTGGACAAGATTGATGAGGTTAGCCTGACTGGCAAGTGTGCAGTTTACATGCTAATAGCAAGTAGGTTGTCTTGCAGGGAGAAAATGCATTGCAAAGTAAGTGTGGAATGTTTATTAGTCCCATTAAAGTGCAAGGGAGACAGTACAGATGATGTAAGAGGAATGCTGTGCAGGAAATATCAGTCACAAAATCAGGCACGTGTGTTTCTTGGCCAAAACCCCTTTGTTTTGTAAGGGGTCTGTGAGGCCTGGGTGCACACAGACATCACCCTCATCATCCTCACCTCACGCTGGTCCTGATTTACTAAAATATGAATATTGATCTAGTATCGATAGCCAACTGAGACGGACAAAAACTCTCTAATAGTTTAAAGTTAGAAAGTGTATGTTTTTTACAATGGCCAGGCAGCACGTGGGATAATTCCCTAATGCACAGTGCAAAAATCACAGGTCTTACAAAGCCCTGTTATTACAAAAGTCTTGAATACACAAAATATGAATATTCATATTCTTGTCACTTCCTCTGCTCCACTTTGTGTGCTAATTGGCAAAAAGGCTATTAAGGCTATACTGTTCCCTGAATTGGGTCAACATCCACTTTGGGGAGGGAGTCTCCAAAAGAAGAAGTAAAATAAGTCTTCCTCATTCTGACCTTTCCACCTTTTCAATGCATACGTGGCAAATGAATCTTTGTAGTTTTCCTGTGTTCAGTGGATTCCTCAAATATGAGAAGTTTGCAACTACTTTGTGTCCCTGAAATCTGTTTATCACATTCTGTTTCTCATGATAAGCGCAGCTACCCAACCATAAAGTTGACATAACTCAGCAACATCTAATTTAACCATCATCTTAACTTCCCTAAAATTCTTAATTCTTCAAAATTAACGTTTCGGTCCCAGACTTCAAAATTTATGTCTCGAGGAGCAGACTCTGCCCAAGCAGCCCCATGGCTCCAGAAATCAAGGGTGGGTAAGACCTGGTGAGCAAACTCTAAGGCGACCCATACTTGGTTTCAGGGGCTGTGGGCGCTCGTCTCCGCCGGGTCCCGATGCTCCCACTAAACACAGGACAGGAATTCTGCTCCTCCCCTCTTCCTGCAAAGCCTGGGACGAGGAAAGGTTGGATGGAGAGTGGTGAGAGCCTTCTGCACTGGGAGACACCAGCTTTCCTTCTGTTGGTGGGGAGGGTTTGAAATCTCGCCGTCCTTCTTGTCGTGTGAGTTGTAAATTTAAAGGGAGATTTTAAGGCACAGTGATTGGAAACAAAATGAAGTTTATCCTATCCTGAGGCTTCATAGATGCTACCATTTTTTGTGGAAAGCACCTTGGTATCATTGCCTGCAGCTTCTTTGTTTCCTTCTCTGTTTTACATAACTTACTAAAATCAAAATATGATGAATTTATCTTACTGTAATTTTAGGATGTGGAAGGGGATTATGTTCTTTTTTATGCTGCACCTACTTTTCTCTACATTTTCTTGAAGCAAATTCAGTTAGCTCTCATTTTGAGAATGCCAGTTTTATACAAGAAACTCATCAAAAATATCCTGTAGTAATGACTAATTGTCTTATCCTTCCAGTGCCCAATCTTAATTTCTGAACTTTGTTGGACAAACTGTTTAGTTTTTCATTCAGCACAGCTAAAGATTTACTCACATTCCTATTTGGCAAATTAGAATGGAAATTTCCAGCAAACTATTGTGGTGTCATCAGCTACAAATAAACCAAGGGAAAAGCTGGCAAGAAAGCAGAAGGAGTCTGTAATGCCTGGTATTGAAAAGGGTTATTTTTCCCAGTGATTGTGGGTCTTATCCTTGTTAATATTTCTCCTGGTTGTGGATCTGATTGTATTTGCCTGTGCAGGTGCCTATGCACTAATTATTCCAATATATCTTGGGTTTTGAGTCCCTTGAAACAGGTGACAAATGTAGTGGACCAAGGAATCAGCACTTTGCTAAAGAAAATCCACTCCATGTCTTTGGGTTTTGGTTTTGCCTCTGGGTACAGACAGAAAAACATAACTCAAGGAAGGATGGACAAATAAAAGAATCCCTTATATGTTGTTGACAATAATCTCAAACAAAACAAGCCACCTGCTCTAAATATGCTCCAGAATTCACTATCAGTGGCTTTCCAAGCTCAGACACTTAGAAAATAAAGAAATGAGGAAAGCCTTACATTGATACTTCACTATAGAAATGGAAAGCTCAAAAATTGGAAGACTCCAGTGAGAGTTTTAAAAAATAATGAAATAAAATAATAAAATCACATCTCTGCATGCCATTTATCCACATCCTTCCTCATTTCCATACTGGCAATCAAAATTATCTGCTCCCCAATCCTCTGAACAGGCTTTTCCTGACTCTTCCTCTTTTTTTTTTTTTTTTTTTTTTTTTAATTGCCCTTTTTCCTTCTGGCATGTAACACAGGGTATTGACTTTTTTTTTACCTCATACTTGAGGTGTAATAGTTTTCAGATACATGCTTTTCTAGAAATATAAAATTTTGGGTAGTATATTTTGAAAGCTGATTTACTGTTTTTCTTTTATTAGCTTAAGGATTGGAAGCTTTGGATAGATTTTCAAGTGTTTGATCTTTTTTTATCTTTTTTTATTTTCCTGGGAAGATGACAGTTCATGGCAATCAGTGAGCTTTATCTTTCTGGGTTTTTTGCAAAATAAATATCTCTTTATGTGAAAATATAGTCCCACATTTTAAACAGGGGCCATTTCAGAAAAAGCCATACATAAAAAAAGTTTTGAAACAGTGGTAATAATGAATGATAATCCTTAAAAAAAGGAATCTAAACTTCATTCTCTCCATTTTATCAGGGCAGATTTTACAATTTGAAAGGAGAGAGCCAGTGTAATATCTGGGATTTGTAAATGAAATCAGGAGGTCAGGCATGCTCAGAAGTGTGAATGGATGTTGGTGATGGAGAGGGCACATAAGGAAGGGAAATGTTACATTACAGAGTTTTAATTCTTCTTTTGTTTGTTGACATCCCTCTATTTCTCTTCAGAGCACACCCCTGCTCAGAGGTTTCACTTTGGGCTGAGCAGGTCCTGCTCCAGGTGCAGCTTTGGTGACCCCAGAGCTGTTCCCAAACCTGGCACTGCCCCACAGCAGCCACGGGGCAGGAGCAGCAGGGAGAGCTTGCACAGGCCAAGCTGAGCATCTGAAAGTTCACTGCTTCAAATCCAGCAAGGGGAAACTACTCTTTTTCTACTTAAAAATCAATTTTCCTCCAGTTCCCTGCTTTACTTCAGCACTGTCTGCTGAGGCAGCCTCTGCTGGGGCTTGTGCCCCGACTTCTTGGGCTTCCCTGTTGTGTTCTGTTGTAACTGGAACATTTCTTTGTTTATCTGTTGGGCCCCTTTCCCCCCTCTTTTACACTTTTTTGGGGTTTTTTTTTTTTGTTTTTTTTGTCTGTGCTCAGCCCTCCCAGAGTGTGTGTTGTTCTTGTTATCCCTGCCCAGTATGGAAGGTCTGGAGTTCATTGCATCACATCTTTTGGGTGTGGATAAATGACATTACATCAACAGCTCTTGGTATCTGTGGAATCTAAGGAGCTTGGTAAATCTGTGACACATCTAAAAGAGGTATTACTTACTGTCTTTTGAAAGATTTTGACTGTGCTGGAGAATTATTTGTAAGAATTAATCCCATTCCCTTTTCCCAGCGAAAAGGGGATGTCTTGCCTCTTTGGAAAGCATTTAACCATTCAATTAGCAAGTTCATCTGGAAGCATGTGAAAAAAGACACAGGAGTCCTCCTGGGCATGCTGTATGAATACCAATGTATTAATTAAAATCTACTTAAATATGTCAGTATTGTGCAGTTAGGGCCATATCTTTTATATCATAAAGTTCCACTGTACACAGACAGCTTTAGGTGTCTATCTTTTAAAAAGCACTTTATTTCTGGGATATGTGTGTAAGATTGGAAGGCTCCTGGGTTTATAAAAATGCCTCATTACTGCAAAGAGCCATATTGTCCCTGCAGCAGGGAGATCTGCTGGGATGCCCCACGCTGGGCCCTGGAAAGACAAGGCCTGTTTGGGTTTGTCCCTCTGGGCTCCTTTCTTTGTTTAAACTGAGAAACAACACAATGTAAACACACGGCTGAAACAGCCAAACCCAAATGTAACCTATTAATTTCGTTGCTTTGGGCTTAGGTTTTTTGGGATGCTCTGGAGTGCGTGTTCCCAGGCTCCCTGGGCTTTGTTCCGAATCAGCAAATCTGCCCCTTTCTCCTCCCTCACTGCAATGATCTGTTCCAGCAGGCTCAGGTCTTGTTGTCACCTTATCTGCCTCCCCTTCACTTTCTCTTGCTTTCTCCTGTTCTTTTTAATTATCCTCCCTTTTTCTCTAGAGAACTTCCTACTCAGCTCCTAAAAAATTGCTATTTTGGGACCCCCAATCCATGTGAACTTACAGCTAGAACAGATGCTCGTCCTTTGGAGTCCATATTTCCCCGACCACTATTATGAAAAAGACTAAAAAAGACTAAAACCCAGGATTTCCCTGCTGGCTACTGGCAGGAATCCAGGAGAAGGATTTTTGGGGGGAAAATCAGCAGCTACTGCAAGGCTCATGCTAAATTCCAAGGGTGGGAGACCTCACTTAATACTCTCAGTTGTGGCTTACAGTAAGTAGGAGGGTGTCATGGAGGGTGAAATTGGGTGCTGTGCTGGAAAACATTTAAAACATGCTGGATTTTATTTTCATTTAATATTAATATGTGCTGAAGGTGTTTAAAAGGTATATGGACCTGGCACGTGGGGACATGGTTTAGGGGTGGGTGTGGCAGTGCTGGGTTTAAAGGTTGGACTTGATGAACTGAGAGGTCTTTTCCAACCCAAAAAGTGACGATTCTATGGAAATCCAGTGAATCCTACGGGCAGGAGCATCAATGCACCAGGACACACATTCAGCCCCCAGTGCCACATCCCTGTGCTCCTTTCCCTTTGGTGCAGGACAGGGAGCAGTCACAGTCACAGGTGTTTCCCCTGTGCTGCCTTGTCACTCTCCCTTTAAGCCCTTCGTGCCTTCTGTGTTGCTTTATAAAGTTCATAAAGTTTTCCCATTCCATTTGCTGTTGCTAGGTGCTGGATTTTTTTTTCCCTCCATTGTGCTTGTTATGAAGAAGCCTTCAGCAGGCTAAGAATATTTTATAAGGTTAGAAAATGGTGTTAAATGTTAATTAGCAGTTGCATAATCCCAGGTGGCATCCTTTCACATGCACTCGTCAATTTTTAATGAGTGTCACTCGTGCACATCAAACTCAAAATTAGCTTTCTTTCCCAAGTACTCTGTTTGATTTTCACACTCACTTCCCCTCCCCTTCTCCTTTGATGTTACTGACACAATATATCATGCTGGCATTTGCTTTGGTTTCATCTCCAATGCATATTGTCATGTAGCTAGTTAGTTATCTGCAACATAGACACACACTCCTACCCGCAGGAGCGCCCTTCAGAGAGGCACAGGATGAAGCTTGACTTTTATTTTTCCCTTCTTAGGCATATCCTCTTGTAGCTGCAATAAGGAAAACCTGATGCAGACGTATTTTTGGTTTTGATCTGAGAATTTCTGAATGCTGGAGCTGCTCTCTGAGCTTAGCTGGAGGTGCCTCTCACTGATCTGCGTTGCATCTGGGGGTGGTTCATCCAAATTAAAATTTGGAGCAAAAAAATCTCTGTGTACCCTGGAAATTTATCACCAGCTAAAGGCTAAAAAGTATTGTACTTCTAACTGGTGGGATAATTCCCCCCTTTATCAGTGCCTTGTGCTGCTATAATAGCATGACTGCTCAGAGGTAGAAAGGAGATTTTTATCCCCAAAAACACCACCAGCCCAGCACAGGAACGCCCTCAGTGGGGTGGTTTGGTTTCTCAGCGGGGTCAGGAGTGGCAGTGCCCAAGGCCAGGAGGTTTGCAGGTGAAATAACCTGGTTATTGCTGAGCAAGCTGGGCAGTGTTGCCCAAACAGCTGGGCTGGGAGAGGTGCTCACTTGGTGATGGGTG